GGCGCGCCGCGGCTGTCCTGCTGCGGGCGGCCTCCGAGGCTTTGCTCCCCGTCTCTCTGGTCTGCTGGTCAGGCAATCCTGCTGGAAAGGCATAACAAGTGGGGTTCCGCAGGGATCTGTTTAGGGACCTGCTCTGTTCAATATTTTCATCAATGACTTAGATATTGGTATAGAAAGTACGCTTAGAAAGTTTGCAGATGATACCAAGATTTGAGAATTCACAATTGGGAGGGGTTGCGACTAATCTGCAGGATTAGGTCATAATTCAAAATGATCTGGACAAACTGGAGAAATGGTCTGAGGTAAATAGGATGAAGTTTAATAAAGACAAATGCAAAGTGCTCCACTTAGGAAGGAACAATCAGTTTCATACATACAGAATGGGAAGCGACTGGGAAGGAGTATGGCAGAAAGAGATCTAGGGATTAAAGTGGACCACAAGTTGAATGAGTCAGCAGTGTGATGCCGTTTCAAAGAAAGCAAACAGGATTCTGGGATGCATTAACAGGTGTGTTGTGAGCAAGACACGAAAAGTCATTCTTCTGCTCTACTCTGTGCTGGTTAGACCTCAACTGGAGAATTGTGTTCAGTTCTGGGCACCGTATTTCAAGAAAGATGTGGAGAAATTGGAGAGGGTCCAGAGAAGAGCAACGAGAATGATTAAAGGTCTAGAGAACATGACCTATGAGGGAAGGCTGAAGGAACTGGGTTTGTTTAATTTAGAAAAGAGAAGATTAAGAGGGGACATGAAAGCAGTTGTCATATCTAAAAGGGTGTCATAAGGAGGAGGGAGAAAACTTGTTCATCTTGGCCTCTGAGGATAGCGCAAGAAGCAATGGGCTTAAACAGCAGCCAGGGAGGTTTAGGTTGGACATTAGGAAAAAGTTCCTAACTGTCAGGGTAGTCAAACACTGGAATAATTTGCCCAGGGAGGTTGTGGAATCTCCATCTCTGGAGATATTTAAGAGTAGGTTAGATAAATGTCTATCAGGGATGGGCTAGACAGTATTTGGTCCTGCCATGAGGGCAGGGGACTGGACTCGATGACCTCTCAAGGTCCCCTCCAGTCCTAGGTCCTAGTATTCTATGATTCTGTGTGGGAGGGGCTCAGAGAGTGTCCCCAGAAATGGGGAGAGAGAGCAGCCGAAGCCACCCATTGCCCTGGAGCTGTCACTGGTCATTGCATAAACAACCCCTCCCTCCCCCACTTCTTGTAGGCTGCAGCGCTCGCACCTCTTGGGAAGCCGGCGGGTGGATCTGGTTTCCTGGGTGCGTCATGGAATCATCAGAAATATCCATCAATAAGCCTGGGAACATTAGCCGGTGCTGAGAACAGCCTGCCCGGGCTGAGGTGTGGCGGGTGGATCTGGTTTCCTGGGTGCGTCATGGAATCATCAGAAATATCCATCAATAAGCCTGGGAACATTAGCCGGTGCTGAGAACAGCCTGCCCGGGCTGAGGTGTTCTCGGACTGCAGGCGGAGCCGCGTGTCTGCAGCCGGGTCTGGGGTCCGCCGGC